CACACACACCCCTCTCTCTCTCTCTCTCTCTTACACTTTCTCTCCCCTCTCTTTGTATATTCTCTATCACTTTCTCTCTCTCTCTCTCTCTCTCTCTCTCTCTCTCTCTCACTTACTCTCTCCATTTCTTTGCCTCTCCCTCTCTCTCTCTCTCTCTCTCTCTCTCTCTCTCTATCTCTCAGTTAGTGGTAACGAAATCTTGACAAGCGGAAATTCTAACGGTGAACAGCGGAAGTGTTTTTCTAAATACACGTTAGCTGAACTACAAAATCATCTGACCTCACTGATCTGATCATGTTGATCCCAAGAAAGTTTCTTTTATAGATTTCATGTTTAAAAAATTGTTATCGGTTCCTCATTGTGTATGCCGCATATACATTTAAGGTTTAATACTCTAAGCGCCTTGGTCGGTTGTAACTGGTAACGCAATTTTCGCTGTTGTTGTAATGGTCCATTGATTGAATAATCAAAAGAAGAAGAAACCAAAGTAATCAAAAACGATTGAGAACAAAAGAAAACAAATACTATAGGTTGATATATACATGAACCTAACAGTGTGTTAGGTCCACGCAAAATGGTACCGAATGGTACAAATTTAACTGACCAAACCTGAACAAAGCCAATATCTCTATCCATGCAACCAAATCCAGCCCGGAGGTCATGGGCACTGATTAAAATTTTGTGAACAAACAAACGTCATGCAATGGAAAGAAATATTGACCACTGAATTCAAAACAAATTCACTATTCCTTCCTCATATAGTTTGAAATAGAAAGGGAAAGCAGGGCGAAATACGTCAGCAGTTAGTTCCCAACAACAATTAAGAACAAGAACAAGGACAAAAGCAACGACAACAACAACATAATGCAGCTGATGATCAGAGAGAGAGAGAGAGAGAGAGAAAGAGAAAGGGAGGGAGGGAAAGGGGTACCAGCATGATTAGATGAAGAGTCAATCACTTTCATTCGCATCAGGACACCTTTTTCAAGTGGGCTCACGTCTCTTTCCCGAATATCAGCTTTCTTGTTTCAAGAGGTAAAGGGTGACGTTGACCTATACAGAAAATCAAGTGATAGACAATATATAAATATAAAAAACACCTCTTTGCCAGAATATGAGTTGGCGACCAGCTTTATTGGTAATCTAAACAATTCTTGGGAAGGACCCCTATGTAAAACAGCATTATTATGCTAACAACGCTGAGTAGGGCCATCCCTCCGTCTTCCTTTTTATAAGTGTGTCTTTATGATTGTAAATGTATATTTGTTGATATTTTTAAATGACGGAAAATAAATACATTACATTACTTGACAACACTCCTCCTCTTGCCTTGTAGGCCTTTAATCTTCGTATTCAGTCCAACTATGTTAAACACATATGACACACATCTATAACGCTAAAACAAACCATATTTTAATTGATCATAAAAATTAAAGCGCAAACCATACTGCATCTATTGATGATTGTTCTAATGATTAATCATTGGAGTGATGATCACGTATGTAAGTTCACAAACCAGGTGAAGGTGAATTCTGCGAAAAGAGGAAACTGATATTAAATTTAAAGACTCTCTTCTTAGGTAACCCACCATTTCTCGCCCACTACACCTAATAAAGGATGTCTAACCTCTATCCTTACATCCTTGTGAAATGTAATAAGAATAAAAAACAGAGTCATCAAAGAAAAACGGGGAACGGAATAAGAAATCCCCTAAACCCACATATTATCACTGCGGTATTGTTATAGCTATGACACACCTCTACCTCTAATGTTCAGATAAATAACACAATGAATGGTTTACACAAATTTGAATGTGAATCGAAATACTTCTGAGCAGTTGAATTCTAGAACAACTACACCCGTGGACTTTACATATATCCACAACCGACTACTCTCTAGGACCAATCAAATTTTAAAATCAAATAAATAATTATAATAATCAGTATTAATAGTATGGGCAACTTTGACACTTTTGTAGAGTAAATTTGTTACTCTCTTGCTAGTGTTTGTTTACTCTGATTGTACATGACAGTATGTTTAAATATGTTTTTTGTTCTGTTCTTGTTTCTTTTTTCCCCTGTATTTGTATGTTTTAGGGATAGGCTTTCATATCAGGAATCCCTCCTTTCTGCCTATCCCAAATGCTCTCATAAATTGCCATTGTTATCACTATCTTGTTTTTTATCATTCCATTCTATACTTGTATGTTTCGATTTTTTTTTCATGAAGAGTGTTGAATAAACTTTGAATTGAATTGAATTGAATATCCAAGGACAACTTACACCTCGGACGGGGAATGGAGTGTCACTTATAAAGATTTTTTTTTTCTTCAGAAAGTATAATCATAAAAAGTTTGAAGAAAAGAAAAGAAAATTTGCAAATGCGTGCATGTGTGTGTGCAGTTGTTTGATTCGTTTCTGTTCTTAAACAGGTCATTTTTAATTTATTTATCAGGGAAAAAAAATTATGTTTATGAATATTTGGCTATAACATATTTTCTTATCGAGGATTTGAAATGAATAAAGAGATGTCTGATATTGTCAGGTAAATTATTCGAAATATCCGGACCATGGTTTCTCTATCGATTTATGGGCCATAATAAGTTTGGGGTTAGTTTAATCATGGTTTAATGGAGGTTGGATGAGTTTTGTTGCGAAGGATAAGAATGAATATGACAATTTTACACTAAAATATTTCAAAATGCTAATTGTATATAATTTATCGAAAATTCATACATAAAGAATGCAATAAGAATAATTGTATATATCATCAATTTTTAATGTTTTTGATTCATAAAAAGTCGGACTAGTATGGCCTATATAATGTGAATGTGGACAAATATAGAGGCGAGATGTTAACATAAGTTTCATTTATTCCCCCCTCCTTTTAGGTTTCAATAAGATATGTATCACAAAAGGAAGGAATTATTAATTTTATTATATTATATATTGTATAATGTATATGCATCTCCAAAATATAAAGCGAATATTATTTATGTGAATATTCCCAATTAAATTCATCTCCAAAATATAAAGCGAATATTATTAATGTGAATATTCCAAATTAAATTTGAATCAATATTATTACTCCTAAGAATTTCCTTTTTAATTACGGGCGTGTCGTGAAATTGTTATGAAAGTTTGTTAATATTTAGAGAGGGAGGGATTATTGGATTAGAACCAAGGTCATAATATTTAATTCTAAGTTGAGAGTTGTAATAATAATGTTTAAGTCTTTATGTAAATGAGTGTCATCTGCGAGCAATATTTATGTTAGGAGTGGTGATGCATTAAAGTTATCATTCTTTAAAAATAGTAGGGGACCTAAGATGGAACCCTGTGGTACTCCGCACTTAACTGTATGAATATCAGATGTTTTAGATTAAAAAATAACGAATATACGCACCATGGTATCGGATGCCTTCGGTAATCCATAAATACCTTTGGCGTGTTCTTTTTTTAGAGAGGAAATCGGAAAGGTACTTATTTTCTCATACAATAAATTGTAGAATAGTATAATTAGTAAAGTGATCCTCTCTAAATCCATATTGGTAAGGAATCAATTAGTCATTCGTTTTTAAGACAGATTATAATCGTTTATATACTCTTTCTTTTAATATATTTAAAAAGCTTGTTAATAAAGAAATTGGTCAGTAGTCTAACATTTGGAATGGATAATCTTTTTACATGAATCGGAAGTGTTTTCGCAATTTTTAGTTGGTCGGGAAAAATACCTTGGTAGAGAGATAATTTAAAAATATTTGATAATAGGGAAGCTATGAAGTGAATCATTTGTTACAAAAAAGATAGTACACTTAATTCTTTATTGCCGCTAGATTTACTGGACTTTAACAAAATAAAAAAAAATCCAAAATGTCCCAAATATTACTTGGATTGGAATGTATAAGGACTGTTCAACATTGTAATTTAAGTATTTAACAAAAAAAATCATTCTTACTATTGACTATTTTGGATGCTAAGTTTGGGCTAATATAAGTTTTAGTAAGCATTGATACATTAGCAATATCATTTGGGTCTTGAATGTTATGCCCATTGTCTTTAAATTAAAATTCATGTAAAATATCCTTTTTCTTTCATAAGATTTCTCAAAATGTTTGCCATCATGATTGATTATTATGATAAGTATATTAAATGTTATTAGAATAGTATAATTTGCGTGACAAATGAATAATTGATGTCAATTAATTACAGTACTTTTTATATCTATTTTGATTTTAAATCAAAGGTGATTAAAGTGGTATTTTATATAAACGATTTCGAGTATAACTTTGATGATACCTTGAGTAATCCATGATTGTTTGTTTCTCGTTTGACTTGGTTTAATTCTTGCGAGGGGCATATTTTTTTTCATAATGATAAAGAAATTTATTTATTAATGAATTATTCACATCACTTTCACTTTCCTCTGGACAAGTAGTCATTTTATGACACTCTCCAGGTCTTGGGACAAGTACCCGTCATAATATAAGCCACGGTAAATCACCAAAGCTTATCGTTGCTTTATCACATGAATAACCCTTTGGGAAAAATGTCATTGAACATCTCCTTATAGTAACAGAAGCAGTAACAATAGTAGAAGTAGTGGTGGTGGTGGTAGTAGTAGTAGTAGTAGTAGTAGTAGTAGTAGTAGTAGTAGTAGTAGTAGTAGTAATAGTAGTAGTAGTAGTAATAGTAGTAGTAGTAGTAGTGGTAGTAGTAGTACACAATGCAGTTGCAACCAACTTTTCGAACTGCGGCATTTGGTCGAGAGTAATATGAAGACAACATATCAATGGTCGAACAACATGGTGACAAAAAACACGTATGTTACTGTCCTAGTATAAGTAATTATCCTAGGGGTAATTTCCTTGGGGGTTGTCTGGGGAGTCGTGAACGAGTATCCGAATTAGATACGCTAAAAGACGGTTAATTTATTGTGTTTTCTATTCATTTATGCCAGTACTGCACAGAAGAATGCGAAATCATCAGGTTATTGTCGTTATTCATATTTAGTTTATTTAAGCAAAATAATAAAAACTAATTTATAAGATGATACATATTTACATAAGACTTCATATAAGTCCATGCTGTTCAACATTCCAACTACTCTGCAATAACAACAATTATGTACATGGATATATGTACACACAGACAATACAGTACTCGATGTATAAATTGCATAAATTCTATCAATGTTATTTACATCTCAGTTTAGGACACATTTAAAACATCAAATAATATACGATAGCAAAGGTAATCAAAATATGTACTCCGAGCACAAAGAAATGTATAGTCTGTTGATGTTTCATCAAATAATGTCCCAATAGTGCCAATGAAGTTGAGCCCTAAATTATAGAAATAAAAACTGCCTGATTAAAAATTATTAATTGAGAACCATCTTATAAATCTTACTTCACAATTTCATCATGACAATGATTTTCTCACATAATGAAGTGAACGGGACCTAAAACAAAATACCAGGAAACTCGTAAATTGCACACTTTTATGGCGTGTTGATGTATTTGGTCGTTTATAGAACGATAGATATTCCCCACTTTCCTATTTAGAGAGATGTTTACGAAATCATGAGAACCAGCAAAACAGTACGTCACCGTTTTTTGTCTACAAATGACCTACATGTCATTTTTGTTTAAAGCGGGTGTTTGTCGCACTTTATTATCCAAATAAAATGTATATATACATATAAGTATGTAATATTTATTTATATACTTTTGTTTATAATGATTAAAGCAATTGAAATAAAAAGTCACTGATAGGTCACTTCTTCACTCTGATCGGTTTTAATTTATTTCGTCAGATAGTTAGATATAATTATACATATATATATATATATAAATACAGTGTATATGCCTATGTTACATGTTAACACATAATATGCTGTACTTTTCATTGAGTAAGTACTATTCCTGCCAGACAGAATGTATCCGAGTTAATATTAACAAGATATATGTAAAGTGAAATTACGAAATACAATTACGTTGGTGGAAAAGAGCAAATACAAGAGAATAGGTCAGAGGAGTTCATAATAAGTTAAGGTCAATAAAATGTCTTATTACGTTTACCATAACTCTATTCATGTCATAATTAGTGCTTTACATATACAAATTAATATTACCAGATTCATGCCCACACAATGTGCACTATATCCACTCCTTGGGGCGTATTCCTACCCATATATCTACCGTAAGGGCATATATAATTCATCACAAAGGCTTTCGCCATCCTTCCAGGACCCCATTTCTTTCCTGGGTAAGGAGCGGCAAATATAGAGTAATGCCTTGCCACAGGACATTAGTGCTATGTCGGGGTTAAACCACGACCTTTGCATTTCAAGTTGAGTGCTATAAAACCACTCGACTACGGCACCTCTAATCTTCATTTAAGTACCTGCAGGCTGCAGCTCTACCAGTGACTGCAACTTGGTTACATAGACCAATTAATAATGTCGTACACACAAAATGTAATCGTTGGTGATTGAATTTCAGACAATCTACTGTGTGTTTTGCTGATCAAAAATGATATAGAGAGACCAATAGACTTTATTATCATGTTTTTAATGATTATTTGAGATATCTATATTTAGTCCTTGAATATGTAAGTGGACTATTAAAGCAGCTTGGAAAAGGCAAGATATAATTAAGATCAAAAGAAATGGTAACATATATCAAGAACATCTTACAAGTGTAGCTGCAGATATTCAATCATCATACCTCATACTTATGGTGCGTTTCGGCCCAATTTCAGCAATTTCTTTAATGTTAGTGACGGCTTTGGAATGTCAGCATATCGACAACCGACGACACAACGAATAACGACCTTAAATGTGGGATGTTTGAATGAATATATCATTGGATTGATGCATGTGTTGAACATGAGTAGTATACCAGTAAATATGGAAAGAGAATTTCCCTTAGGTAACAACAGGGAGACACTGTAAGGCGCAATGCAGATGAAGAATGAAACGATGACCATTAGAAGATTTTTGGTGATCTCAACTTCCCGTTTGAGCACCACTGTCTTAATACCTGAAACTTTCCTCCCCTCCGAAATGTTCGAGCTTGCAGCATTATGAGAACGAGGAGGAGGTAGTTGAGTTTCGGTTTGCTCTGTGCTCGTGAATTCATTGTCCACTCCGACGCTGCCTTCGCTGGGTGATCTGTGAGACAGCATGGCACGATGATGCTTCTTGATGAACAGAAATATGCGGATATAACAGACGACAATGACGACGAACGAAACGCTGAACGTGATTCCCACGATGATGTCATTTACTTCAGAAAGTTCGTGTTCGTCATCCCATGAACAGATACGATAGGATTCAGAGTACCCTAACATTCCAATATCAGCGAGAGGCAGGACAGCGAACATTATGAAGGTATAGATATAAGTAGAAGCCACCATAAGAAACAGGTTACGAGGTTTGTAGAGGCGTTGACAGGTGCTGCGTGGTCGAGTGATGACGAAGTATCGATTGAAAGCAATAAGAACAAGCAGGAGAACACTCGCACCGAAACAGATACTTGTAATACCCCCAATGGCGGCGCAGAGCCAGTCCGCTAAGGGCCATCCGTCTTGTGAAATTAAAGCAAAAGTCTGGAACGGGAGAGTAATGCAGACCAAAAGATCAGTAACACAGAGAGCTATAATAAACACATTGGTAACCGTCTGTAGCTTGCGACTAAATACCACACTGACAATGACAATCGAATTTCCGACGATTCCTAAAAGTGCTATAATATTCAAGAAAATACTCATTATAAGCGCTTCTGTATCCGATACTAGCGGGTCCTTTGTCGTTGTCATCGTCGTCATATTCATAGTCGTATCAAATGCAGTGTCATTCCATTCAGTGTATTCCATTGTCTGAGATACAGTCGACGACGATGTTGAAAGCATTGTCGATACCGTTGAGGACTGATTTATCGTTGTCATTGTAGTCGCCATCTTTCGGGAGTCATATGCTGATATATTACACTGTTTTATAATGAGCGAGTCAGCCTGAAACTAAGATCTCAACACCTTCAATCAAACGATTTGGTGTAATGGTGCGGAGCTTGGACAGTTATGGAGTTTGTTCACTAGAGCACATCCGGGTTCGCAATTTCCCCTAAAATACTGCTTATTGAATCATTCCATATTTTTGGAAGTGTGTACCTCCTTCCTGCACGATCTCTACTGTAGATGTTTACTCAATGCGCCCTTGTGTATCACACAACCTTGATAATATAAATCATACAAACAAACGTGTTGTTTATTCAGCATCGATATAACAATAGACCAGCTAAGTCTCTGACTCCTAAAATGGGTTTCACAATCAATTTCACAGTTCTCTATTATTTCGCCTCTGTCAGTGGTATTGCTGTTATTGGCTTCGTTTAATCATCATTTATAGGTCGCACGATTTTCTATAATCCAACCTTATCGACATGAAATACCTTCACGCTCCATGAATATGCTCACAAAGTAAATATCTCGTTTGTACAGTTCATCTATAAGTGTTCTTTGAACTCCAGCTACAAAAAAAGACGGTGTTATCATGACATATATTTTAGCTCCAATGGCAACCCTGAACTTTCATAGAGATGACAATGTCTGCAACAATTCCAAAAGTTCTCGAAAGAAAAATTGATTTCCGTGTGTTTGGCTCCTCCGTGTACTAACTAACACGGTTCCGCTCCGAAGACTTATTCGACGCATTGACTCTTGTTGAACCAGTTGCTATATAACTGAGGGAGGTAAATCACGATTTCCTCCATTTACACATGAAACAATGATTGCTGTGACCCGGAGGAGGGTCAACTTGTAATAGTGTATTTTACGCAGTATCCCGAAGATGTCAAAAACTCGTCCGGAACTGAATCATGAACTTCCAAAACGAGGAAGTAACACGACTCCTATCGGGCACTGACTGTTATCACTCTGTCTGGCTTCGGTTTCCTTTCTGCAGTGTTCCTATTCTTTTCCGATTTCGAAACTAAACACAATGTTCATTCTAATCGCACTACTACTCAGAGTTTTTCAGTCCGTGGTACTTTACACCATGCATCCTTTGTTAAGAACCAAGCGATAACGGGTCAATGTCATGTATAATACATCCGAGTTGAATTCGAGCTCAGGTCTCAGACATGTGCGGGTAGAAATCTGATCCGAAAATTTACTTGCTCGAGAGAGATTAAGTTTTTTATTTATTATGCTGCACCAGCCTATAACGTTACCATGACGATCACACATCACACCCTGAAGTGTATGACCTGTATAATGTAGTCATGATGAGTGAACACCAAAGCGAACGAATTCTGTTTTCTGCGCTGACGATAAGAGGAAAACGCGCGCAATCGTAGATGCATGGGTTCCGCATTGATGTTGGTTGCTTTCATGAGGTTAGCCTTTTTATAACCATGCTCCTCAACATGGGCGGATCCAGCCGACGGCAGGGGAGGGGGCCCAATTCGTGAGAAAATGTTTAGCGGCGAAATAGCCAGCCGTTAATTCGCTCAGTGCGGGGTGGGGGGGGGGGGGGTGGTAGTGAGTCCTAAACATTTGTTTTGTTGCCCCTCGAAAATTTGATAAATCGCACCCCCCCCCCCCCGGTAAAAAGGTAAAATTAACGTGTTTTTACACCTTTTTTTCAAGGAATGCCCTCCCCCTCCCCCTCCCAGATCCGCCTCAATACAGTATGATGGGAGCTGTGTATTATTAGGTTATTGTCGTGATTGTTAGCAAACAATCATGACGGTTTAATTACGAAAGCGCTCGATCATTAATGAGTAAAGAGCGAGCAAACAGAAGTGAATGAAAATTTTATTAGGATTCCTCCGGAGAATAATCACGAATGCTTATGCGCAAAAGGGCTGGGAATGGCAGGCGATGAGGCGAAGGTTTAAAATGTCTGGCAAAAGGCTTGTTGAAAGTGGACAATAATCAAGAGATTAGTTACACATGATATGATAGTCTATATTCTTTTAAACCAAACTGTTATTATTTAGAATATTTTATGATTTCCAGTCTCATCATGTTTTTCATTGTGTATCGAGTAAAAATAAATAGTTTAAGAAAAAACACGAGAGGGGTCAAAGCTGAAATGTGAAAGGAAGAGACTGATAAAAGATAAAGAGAGTGAGACATGGGTCGAAAGTCAACATGTTTTAACATATAAAGTAAACTATTTCTTGTTGTAATTCCAAAATACATCTTTCTTTAACGTATTAGAACCTTCCTGTATAAATACCCGTAGATATTCAATATTACGGTGATATACCATGCATACTTTCAAAATGACTAAACTACCGAAGGCGTGATGGCTGAGAGGTATAGCGTATAGTTTGCACCCAATCTGTTTATTCCAGGGAGTAACCGAATTCGAAACCACGCCTCATGACTAAAAATCATCCCTGACTACTTATCTTCAACCTTTTCAGTTACTTTACGATAATTCAGAAAAAAAAAATGTTTTAGAAATCATCACATCCAAAATTTATCGAACACATCTTTTATCGGGTATTAAAATTGTGTGAGCACATTTGAGATGAACATAATTATCACAGACGGCAGTCATTTTCCATTCGATTGTAGGACATGCAATTTCTCATTATAAGTGCATTCATATCGTGTTCACAACTCATGTTTTCCATGTCTGTGAATGACTGCACTGCACCGATCAAATCTCATTTTGATCGATATTAGAAAGCAACAATGTCTCAGAAGTTGCTTTATCAAGTCTGTCTTTTAGCTTGCGGGCAAAGTAATCACAAATACGGTAAAATTGATTTATTTTCTCAATAAAGTCATTAACTGAAACCGTATGCTGCATCCCATTCACGAGAGACAAAAATGATACACACAATTTGATCTTACAAATGAATTAATGAATAAACCCCTTAGAACCATAGCGAAGTGGTTCTTTGTCGGCTAAATAGTGTTCATGCATTCGAGACGGTTGTTTTGCAGTACGTCTTTTGGTACTTTACACGAAGAAAAAACAAATGTAGGTCGAAACAATACTCAAGGGAAGTTAGGGAACGACAACTAGGAAATATATGAGCACAAAACTTTGTCAAGAAGGGGCTCAAGAGGTAAAACCGAGAGAGAATTAAGTTCACAGGTCACGTCGTATGACGGGGTGTTCCAGAGTGGCTTTATATTTTGACCCGACATCGTCTGTTATCCCATGGGTATTATGGAAAACTACTTCATAGGGGGAAATATTCAAAAGCATTATCATCATTACCTGTTGTACGCATTACATTCGTACTCTGGGAGGTGTAATAGAATAAGATTATGTTCGTTATCATGACTGTGTAAAGATGAATCTACCTTCTGAGATGATTATACGCGTGTTGGCACTTAACAACTTGTGAAACCAGGGGTGTGTTTTACAAAGACTAAGATCGACTTTAAGTTAAACTTAACTAGGAATTTCATGCCACTAGTTCCTCTAACAATTTCTGGCATTGGTTTCTCAAGGGACGTACAAATCGTGGACACAACATGCACAGAATTTACCTTTTTTGATAGTTCATTATTGAAGGAAAAATTATTATCTAAAGATCATAATCGAGAGACTAATGGTGAGAGCAGCCAGATGCATATGAATGGCCTGCCATAGTTAAGTCCAACTTAAAGTTGATCTTAGTCTTTGTGAAACATCCCCTGGTAATACAATCATAAATACAAAATTTAATGTCCGAAGTAGCCTTAAGACTAAATCTTTCTATTCCAAAGTAAAATTTTCGTTGTAAAGAACAACTGCGGTAATGTTGTGGTAATCGTTCATATTCTTTTAAGGGTATCGAGGTTCGTAGAGTAAATTATTAATTTAAAAAAAAATCATTTTCCAAAAGCATAAAATGAAACTCTTGTCGTAATTTCAGAAAGCTCCTTTAGAATACACACAAACGTACCCTCATTTGGACGTTATGGCATACAAGAGCCATAGTTCAAACACAGCAACTCGGTCATCTATTCATAATTATTCAGTCTATCAGTAATAATGTATTTCATGCATTTCAGCGCACACGGCTGTTTTCAAGAGCATTGCTACCTTCATTTTTTGTAAACTACCTTTTCTGGAAGCATTGTTTGCTTGCATTTTTGACAAGTCATGTTCATTCATTCCAATGCAAGGTAATGTGCTTGATGCCTTTAAGCTGAATGACTCTCTCTCTCTCTCTCTCTCTCTCTCTCTCTCTCTCTTTGTCCTTTTCTCCATCTGTCTGTCTCTCTCTCTCTCTCTCTGTTGATCCAATGCGAAATTAGGGAGGGAGACAGAGAGAATGAGTGGGAGGGTGAAAAAAAACCCCGGAAACAACTCGAAATAAAGGAAAAGGGAAGTCGAGAAATTACAGACAAAGTACGATGATTGGTAGAGCATTGGAGGAGAATAGCGGCAAAGCAGTCACATTGGAATCAATGAATGAATAATGCAACAGAATACACATCAAATTAGACTTAAAATGTATTGAAATAATATCGTGAAATAGGCCTAGTGGTCGACTGTGACGTCATCCAAAAAACTGTTTTTAGAGTTTCCAATCTTGAACTTCATGTTCCGAAAGAGCATCAAAAATAATGTCAAAATGTTGATATCAAATATGTTGAGTATTGGCTGAGATATGCATATCCGAATTAATTTATTTCAATAGGAAATCCTTGTTATTTTGCTCTGGTTTGTAGTATTACGAACCAGAGCAAAATAACAGTGATCAAAATAACGGTGATTTCCTTTTGAAATTTATTTATTCGGATGGTCATAATTATCTCAGCCAATTAATTTATTTCAATAGGAAATCCCTGTTATTTTGCTCTGGTTTGTAGTATTACGAACCAGAGCAAAATAACAGTGATCAAAATAACGGTGATTTCCTTTTGAAATCTATTTATTCGGATGGTCATATCTCAGCAAATAATTAACATATTCACTGTTTTTAAGTTCAAATTGAGAAATTCTAAAAATAGTGGTTTATGATGTCACAGCTGCGGTACTCTGACTACCATCAAATAAATCAACGAAGAAAAATAAAATAAGAAACATAATCTTAATACAGCAAACGCATACTATATCTATCTATCTATCTATCTATCTTTCAGGCTATAATTCATCCAGACGTTGGACAAAGCCCTCCTCATAACATTTCCATTCTCTTCTGTCTCTAGCTGTCCTAGTCCAAGCAGCCGTTCCCATGTATGATGATAGGTCATCTTTCCATCTTCTCTCTGCCTTCATCTTCTTCTCTTTCCCATCCTTGGTTGCCATTCTGTTAAACGATTTGTCCATCTATTGTCCTGAAGTCTTGCTACATGCCCAGCCCATCTCTACTTGGATTCTCTGACTTTCTCTATGATGTCTTTAATCTTTGTTTTTTGGCGTATGACTTTGTGATTGATTTTGTCTCGCAGAGATAAATTATATCATTGCATCATAAATACTAAGGTTTTACTGGTGCAGGAAATGATAGCAGATTGCAGAGGCTCAATATTTTGAAATCAAACTAATAAAATCTTCATCACTTCATCCTTAATGCTCAAAATGAATTTTGCCTATAAATAATTATGAATACTGTCACAGCAGGACATCGCGTAGACCGAAAGCTTCAGTCTCTGATAACGACGGTTGTTCCGCTGAGATTGCATCTGGCTCTGACCGCCTCTATACATATTGTATTGGGGAATGTCGACAAAATTAATGTCAGTTTTATTAAAGAAATGACCCATATCAGACGATTATTTCTGTCTAGGCTTCGCGTAACTATCTTCTGATGGAATGTGTTCTGATTACTTGCATTCAACCCATTAGTGGAGAGAGGAAGCCATTAGACGACGCGACGTCTGATCACCTCGTTAACAAGAGTTTCATGGGTAGAAGCGTTCAACCCTTAATTCAGGGTCATATGAGAGCTTTAATTAAACTTATCACCCAACATGAGGTAGTATGCGTACATCACCGTCTCTCCGTCCCTACCGACCCGTCAGACGCTGAAAGCAGGGGCGTCGCCAGACCTTTTTCAGTGGGGGGGGGGGGGGGTGTAGAGGCCAACGATTACCGACAAAACTAGCCACCAATTACCGACAAAATTAAATGTCCCAATATCTACAAATTTAACCCTATAAACCCGGGGCCGAAGGCTAAATTGTTTTTCCTATGGACTATCT